TTTCGGATGAAGATTCTGATCCAACAAGGGGCAATCAGTAATTCAAGCAACTACCTTCGTCGAAATCTTTAAATCTCAACTGATGACTATTTCGAAACACACAGATTTGGTTCAACCACAACTCATGTGCAACTAGTGTCTCGCACTGCCTCAACCCTCGACATCTGGATTTTGGCCTGTTTTACTGCCACATTACTGCATCATATCATGTGATAAATATTGCCCATTCGGTATCGCCTGCAGCCTGGAAGGGGAATTCCTCGATCTGTTGGCCCTTTCTTTTCAAGGTTTCTTCCTTTATTTTTCCAAAGACAAAAACGTTTCATGGGGATCAGGGGAAATTTATGTAACTAGAACAAGAAAAAAAATTGAACATTTTCCTCTTAATAGTGATGGTTTGGTGAAAACACAATCTATTTTAGCATACCGACTAAAACAATCAGATTTCATGAGTTTTGTTGAATATGACTCAAGCGGGTTAATTTTGTACATTTCTGAATGGCCTAGGTCTGATAAATGAGTAAAATTTAACTCAATATTCAAATTTTGTGCAAGAATGAAAGATTCCATTGTTCAGTAAAATATTTAAAACTTGACAAAGTTCTACACCCAAATACAAAATCTGTTGTTGTACAGATCTGTGCGGTCTGTGATGATGACAGAACGGCAGAGTTACTAAACCCTATCATGAAAGCAGATTTAACACTTCTTGTTTTCATAAGATTTATGTCGATGCCTTATTTCCATTGAATAAATGAGGTGGTGCACAGCTGTGGGAAGGATGAAGTGTAGCTGGAATAAACTGCAGGTGTGATATTAATGAACCGCAACTCTGAACTCCATTGGCAGCCAAAATAGGTGAGACATACAGTATATGGCTGTATTCCATCACACAATGCCAAAGCCGGATTGGTGCCTTAATGAAGACATGAAGTGCAGAGTCATGGAGGCCTTGCACAGAACACCGCGGAGAAGCCATAACATACAATTAGAATGCCTCCGAATGCGTGTTGGGATTTCAGGCTCAGCTCTTTCCTGGTTTAGGTCTTACCTCTCAGAGAAGACGCACCGTGTAATTTATGGTAATACGACGTCTGAGTTTTGTAATGTTACATGTGGAGTCCCACAGGGATGAGAACTTGGCCCTCTCTTGTTCAGCATTTACATGCTTCCGCTCCGTGACATCATACATAAATATAACATTAGTTTTCAATATTATGCTGATGATTATGCTGATGATACCCAACTACATATGCTGTACATATGTGCAGTTGATTTGACACATTCCTCGCTGAGATTCAACAATAGATGACTTAATTTTTTTGTTCTTAACCCCGATAAAACCCAAGATGATGATTATTGGTCCTGCTCGGCATCTGCATCTATTCAAGGACGCTACTTTCAGCCTCGATAAATGTACTATTACCCAAAGTGATTCAGAAAAAAATGTCAGTGTGATAGTTGATTCAACGCTCGCTTTTCAAATGCACATTAAGAATATAAATAGAACTGCGTTTTCTTTTCACTTTCGCAATATCGCCAAAATACGTCCCCATTTTATCTCCTGGTGATGCAGAAATCATAATTCACGCGTTTACGTCTCGCCTCGATTATTGCAACATATTGCTCGCTGGGCCTTCCATCTCCAGTGTTAAAAGCTTACCGTTAGTACAAAATGCTGCAGCTAGACTCCTGACGAGGAAGTTTGATCACATTACCCCGATGCTAGCCAACCTGCATTGTCTTCCTGTTGGTTTGAGATGCGATTTCAAGGTTTTACTACTTATAAAATATGACACGGCCAGTTGTTTTCAATAAGGAGTTTCATCCAAGTCCATTATTTCCTCGAGGGAACAAAACACGACACGATCCCGCGTAAACAAATAACAACTTCATCTGATTAACGGCCAGTTGTTTTCTATAAGGAGTTTCATCCAAGTCCATTATTTCCTCGAGGGAACAAAACACGACACATCCCGCGTAAACAAATAACAACTTGATCTGATTAGATGTGACAGCATTCATACAAAATTTAACACACAATTTGGATAAAATGGTTTAAATGACACCAAGCCCCAGATGGATACAAATTTAGGCCCTTCCATTAGTTTGGCATGAAAATTTGCCTCACCATTTTTGAGTCCGATTTTTTGGCAAATTCCAGCTTGGCCTGCCTATTCTTCCCTCAAACATGTCCACTTGGTTCAAAATGCTGCTGCCCGCTTCTTAACTGGAACATGTAGGAGGGAGCACATGACTTCTATTCGGGCCACTCTCCACTAGACGCCGTTACATCTCTTACTGTAGTCTTCACAGGCAAACCCCAAATCAGAAACTAAGCTATAGACATTGAGCATTTTTATTGTTTGACTAATCAATGTAAAGGACAATAAGACACACATGTCAGTAAGACGTACCAATCGCTAACAAGCACAATGTGAGCACCTTTAGTCCCGAACCTTGTGAAGGAAAAAAAAAGAAAAAAACTGCTATCCCATTA